AGTAGTACAGAATGTATTAGTTTAGGTCAACGGGAGGTTCTTCAGTATTCACTGCTATATATGTGACCTTTTTGGACAGTCATGGTTAGCACAATGATTTGTTGCTTCTCTTAGAGTTGATTTAAAGTGTGCTATGCATGAGATTAGTGTTTTATTGCTTGAGATTTTCTATTATGCAAGGTGGGAAGTCTTTATTGTGCTAAATAATATAAAATAACATTAATGGTAGAGTATACTTGCAGGTATGCTATCCTGGGTTATTACTGTTTTTTATGGTTATGCATACATAAATATTTCAAACTGTAGATGAAAAGGAAAAGACAACTTTTCCTTGTTTTCATTTTACTGTTTGTATTATAATAGTGCCCGGAAAGTTGTATGTGCCTAAACATCATGGCTTCAGGATTTTGCCCAGGTAACTTCTTCATAGAAAACAGAAGTAACCTTCAAAAAGAGAGCAGTGCAATCCAAGTTTCTTTCTTACCCACGCTCTCCTCACTAACATACAGGCAAACTACTTGGTGTTAGTCTGGTGTGCAACTCAGGCGGGATTTCCCAAAGCAGAGTGTGTGGTGTGATAGAAAGGAGTGTCATACAAGGTAAAAGTATGTTTTTGTGTTTGGGTCTTTATTAGTGTGGGGGGTTTTTTGTTTGTTTTGGGGGTTTTTTTGTTGTTGTTTTGTTTTGGGTTTTGCTGATGTAGTTACATGTCTGTGCCCTTTATTTATACCTCCAAAAGAAACAAATCCAATAATTACCAGTGATCACATAAGTAGAGATTAATGTATACCAATTGTTACAGTAAAAATAGTAAAAATGAGCTGTGCACTAAATTTAGTAGACCTACGCTTAGCTAGTCTGAAAGAGATGACTTTTATTTGGACACTTGCACCCATTTGCTTCCAGAAAGTTTCTTAAAGTTCTGTGAAACCATGTGGAAGTATTCTGAGCATCACCAGAAGTGAGTTTTCTTTAGCTCTGCTGGGATTTTTGGAGCTAATATCACCATTTCAGAGCCAGCATTACTTAATTTGAGAGAGTTTGATTCTGACAATGTTGGGAGTTTTGGTGGTTGTTTTTTAGGAGTCCTCCTAGGTAGTCGTGAAAGTTGTATTCTGTTAGCTTAGTCTGTATGGGAGTGGGGCTGTTTGAACGTCTTCAGCAGGTTTGTTGTTTGCTGCAGCTGATAGTTTGCCCCTTCAAAAAAAATTTCTTATGGGAAGAATGAACTGTGGAGACTCTTACACACAATCTGTACAATTGCCCTTCTGACTGAAAATTTCAAGGGAACTTTTCTGCAGGTTGTCTTGATTCAGAAAAGCATCTCAGCACACACTTAAAATATGTTTCCTGATGGTATTTTAAGCTTGTGCTTAAGTTTTCTGGTTGAATAAAACTGCTTTCCTGAGCTGGTGCCTTAATGGTTATGCCTCCTAAAATTTATTACATGAAATTGCAAGTCCTATGTACATGTGGGTAAGAGTTGTCAGCAATTTATAGATAGGGTGATGCATCTTTAAGTAACTGATTTATTTATTTCTTTTTTTAATATAAATGTACACATACCAGAAGTTGCTGCTTTCTCTGGTAAGTATATTTTGTCATACTATTAAAGTTTTCTTAGGGTCAGTTGAAAAGGGTATAGATCTTTTTGGATATACAGACCTACAATCATTATAGACAAGCATAGTTTTAAGTCTGAGTGAAACCAAAACTATCTCCTCAGCCTTCCAGTGGTGGCATTTTTTTTTTTTTTTTTGAGGGGTTTAGGAGGGTGGGAAAGGTTATTGGTGAAGTTTGGCGGTGTGTGTGTGTGTGTGTGTGTTTATATAGCAGAAGGGAGTTAATGGACACAGCAGTCCCTTTTCCTGATGTGTTCTAAAATGACAATGTGAGCTGATTGCATAGGTTGTTTCAGCTGGTCTACGTTGCTTTAGAATTATGGTGGAGGGAGTCAAGGAGAATAAGTGGGCAAATACTGCTTTTCTAAGAATAAGTTGATAAAGCCAAAATAATTAGATTACTTGTTGGAGACAGAATAAAGAGAAGGTAAATAATGGTTTCAGAAGTTGTCATAATTTGCCATTAAATATCTTGTTTTCATTAAATGAAGATTTCTAAAGTAACACAATTTTTTTACACTACTTTGTGCCAATTGAACAAAAACATCAAACCAAAACACCCCCAGTATGATGTGGCACTTAGATACAAATGAAGTATTCTCATTTGGGCACACAGTTGGCTAAGTCAGTCAAATGTGTGGCATTACATTATGGCAGTCTGGAGCTGTTCAAAGTGGAGTGTTTCTAAATGTTACTTTTGATTATCAAGCCAGATCTTTTTACTCTGTTGTCTGGAGAATGCAAAGATGAACCTTTGTTGGATTTTGCAGGTGTTTGGTATGCGAAGACACAATTGTCATATATGCATCCTTTACACTTAATCTGGTTTCTTCCACCTTCCACATGCACATTTTTCTCCCGTAACGGGTTGGCTGCATACACTTATGAATGAATGTCTCCAATGCTGGTTTTCATTGCATTGGCTATGAAATCCATGGAAAGAAAATAGGAAGGAAATGGCTAATGCGAGTATTCTACTGCTCTATGTACTCTCTTTTAAGGGAGAGATAAGGGGGAAGAAACTTGTTCTGACAAGTGAAGACTTGTTTTTATTTTATAGTCTGTGTGATGGAAACCCACAATTATCTGCTGCTAAAAAGTGAACTGCAAACAATGTATTACTAATAACTTTAAAATTGCCAAAAGGTGTATTATGATACTGTTCCATTTATTCCACTTAATACTGTTTTAACAGTTCTCCATTTGTGTATAGATGTTTCCCAAGTATTTGTCTTGTATATATAAATTTCTAGTTTGGGAAGAGGAAGTTATTTTCATGAGTTTGTGAGAAAGCCTCTTGGTTTAAATATGCTCATTAAAGGCATGTCTCTTTTATAAGAGGAAATTAAAGTTAAAAAAATTAAAAAAAAGGGGGTGTGGGGAAATAGGGGTCAGGAGTTGAACAGCTGTAGCAGTAGAGTCCTTGTGAAGAAGCATCCAGCACACGTTTGTGTGTGTGGTTTTAATTAGTGGAAATGCAGCTTCCCAAGTTTACATTCCCAATACTTGTTTGTGAAATGCAGAGAGATAAGTGATGCTTTCATCTGAAAAAATGTTAACTGATATGGCTGCCCTCATGTCCATTTCTCAGGTAAAATTAGAAATAGAGCACAAATACGTTTCGTAGGCTACGGACAATCTCAGTTGAAGGGCAGATGGATTAAGTACTTACACAAAATATGCGTATCAGCATGTCTTAAACTAATCATTTGCATCATGTCAGATGTTCACAGTGAAGAATGCAAGGGTGAATTGAGAGTCCAAGGTATGGTCTCTTAGTTAAAAGATGCAGACATACCTCTGTATTTCATAATTCAGTTTTGAACTGCATTTTAATTTTTGTTAATGACAGGTGATTTTGCTAGGGGCACTTCTGCCAAACATAAAATCAGTGCCTCTTGCATGTCATGTAGTGGGATCAGCCTGATGTATCCCATTCAGAATAATTTACAATGCCATCCTGCTTGTATAGAGTAGAACCCTGCAGAAGTGTAAATAGTGATAACATATTGAAGTTCTAAATAACACTTGTGTTCTGAATTCAGAAACAGTCATTGAAAATATGATGCAAGCTATTTGTTTGGGTTTTTTTCCGTATAGGTAAAGCAAAAATGTCTGAAAGTATTCTTAAGTTTTTTAGACAAAGCATCAATGTTACTGTATATGTGCTAATTGTGGCAAAGTTTTACATTCTCATTCTAGTCTGGTTTTTACAATAACATTAATTTTACAAAAAACCTTTTCTATTTTTATGTACTGACATATGCAATAAATTGATAAATTGAAACTGCTGTTAATGCCTTGTTCTAGTTTGTGGCCTGTCTTCAGTGCATGTACAGGGGTATTTTTGTATGTGTGGTAACTGATTAACCTCAAGGTACCTTTTTCAGTTACTTAATGAAACCAAAGCATGTGAATTAGACATCTGCATTGTTCAATGCAGTGTTTGTGGAAAGTTGTTACAGCAGGGAAAAACTATTGCAAATGCCTGTTTTGAGTTTTACCATATATCCTCCCTTTCAGGAAGTGTTCATAAATAAGACTGATACGTGGTAATTCTCCATCCCTTTGAACACAATCTGCTTTTCAAAATTTCTTTTTTATCTGGGGGACTGAGAGATAGCCTAAATATTATGTCAATTAGGAAATATTTTTAAGTGTTTCTGACTATTTTTGCCATCTATTGCTGGTAATATTTTAAATGTCAGTCTTGAATGCTATAATGCCACTCTAGCAGGTTTATAGTTAAGTCATGTAGCTGCACTGGGATACTTGAGCTGGAGCAACTCCTACTTTCTTTACAAAAATGCATAGCTAAGCTTATAGCACCTCTGCTCACATCCTGCATAGTTAATGTGCAGTACACAGAAAATAAGGATTTGCTGCTGGCTTTTCTAAAGCTGTAAAATGTATGTCCTCTCCTGGATTACTTTAAAATAGAACTATCAGTTCGATTTTAAGCCAATACCTAGGAAACTGAGGTAGGGGGTGGGTGGTACATTTTAGTACTTTATTCAACATCTGTATTATTTTAATAGAAAAAAGAATAATTTCTAATTTGTGAAAAGGAAGCCATGAAAGTAAAGGAGCAGCTCAGATTTGATACCTCATGTGAATACTGCCCTTGAATGAAAAGCAGTTTGCTGTCTTATGAATTATGTCACTAAAAAACTTATTTGTGCAGTGCTATACTGAAGGATACAAGTCTTGCATGTGCCTTTTCTTGTTTGGAAATTGATAAGCAGCTGAGCTATGAAGGAACTCTGTTCTGGAATGTCTTGTGATGTTATGCATTGTTAGTAGATACGTGCAGGCCTTCGACAAAGATAAAATACAGTATTTGAATTTCTGAGTGAGTGCTGCTTAAACATAGTAGATTCATAAGGGTATATGAACATCTACATTAAAATGGTATAAATGAAACTTAAACCAAAAGCAGGGGACTCACTGTCTTTTTAAAAATATCAAGTATAGGTAGGTAAGGTTTTGAGAAAACACTGAACCATTAGCTAAACAGTAATTACTTGCTCTGAACTTAAAATCCTTGTTGGACACTATTCAGGGTCTTAGTTCTGTCTCTGTAAGTAGTTAAGGAAGAGACACTGAATATTTTCTAGAAGTGTTTTGAAAATGTTAATGTGATTAATTTGTTATGCTTCAGCTGGGGTGGGGGCAGAATAATTCTCCTGTGCCTTGAGAAAGCAGAAATTTTACATTCTCGGAAGAGGCAGTACAGCTTAAGAGTAGACCTGGTTTTAATGCATTACAGAGCACAGTTCCACTCATAATTGTTGGAAGTACATCTTTAATAATCTTAACCGATGAGCTGAATAATGCAAAACTGCAAGGCTGCCCATGTCAAATGTCATCAGAGAGATGTTGCTGCTATTTTTGATAAGCAACTAAGCAACAGATTTGCTGCCTGAAGACAGAAAGGAAGTTCTACAGCTGTTTTGTGTTATGCTAATTATTTATAAAAGTTCAAAGGGAAAAATCAGGCAGAGGCTGTTCCCTTCTAATAGTGTAGCAATTAGATACAGCTATGAAGAAATAATGCTATGATTTGAAAATACTTGGATCCCTGTGCTGTGCCCTCTATGGTCCATAGACCGTAGCAACAGCAGAGTAGCCACTCCCACACAAAGGGCCATGTCTCCTTGTTTATGTTGCTGCCATACAAATACACTTTTAGCCCATCTGTGCAAAATCTGTCAAGTTGCATAGTGTGGAAGAGGTGGACAAATGGAATACTCCGTGTAGCTGGACTGTTACTAGAAGTGAGCTACAGCTATGTGACAGAGCTCCTTTTCCTCTGTGCAGTAAGAAGGAATGGCTTCTAGCATAACATCATGGGGGGAGGGAAGAGAGGGCAAAGGGAGGAGGCTGGCATTGAACTGCTGTAGTACATAAATCTTGTGTTCTCTTTTTGTATTTTGTTTCTGAAATTGTATTTCTTTTATATTTTGTATATTTTTATATTCCTGCTGCATACTTTTAAGTGACACCTGTAATAATTGCTTTTCCTTCCTGTGCCATTTTCTGTTCTCTTTGAAAGCACTTTAATAACCATATAAAAATTAATGATTACTGCAAGTCAGCTGCATGTTTACTTCGCATAGTATACCTGCCAATTTTGGTCCAAGGTTGCCTGGATGTCTAGAGAAATAAAGTCTTAGGCAAGGAGTAAATCAAGCATGGTGTATCTACAGTGTGCAGGGACACTTGTGTTATCCTAGGCAATTTTGAAATTGGGAGACAAAGAGAAAAGAATACCTTTTTTGCTTCAGAAAAATCTGAAGGATTGCTTTTTCTTCCGTTTAATAAGGTAATATATCAAATAAGGCTTTAACTGTATAACACATCCTTTACTTGCAAGGTATTCAACAGCTTTAAATTTAAGATTATGGTAAGATACACAACCACAGGAACACAGTATCCACAAATCCAGTGATTTTTGGATCTGTGTGGAGGGCAGGAACTTGCCTGGTTTTGCTACTTTGTAAATTTCAGTTAATGGCTGAAAGATCTAATTAAGTATCCTTGAAGGGAGTGTGTACTGTTTCAGAGGGACATCTATGAATACTTCTAATATAGATGTATGTAATAGCAGAAAACTGTCATAGAGGATAATCATCCATCCATGTTGTCCATCTTCAGAAAGGACTTGAAATTCAATGTGTTTAAAATGGAACCTTCATTTATTCTTTGATCCTCTGTCTGTTCTGTACTGTCTTGTGTGATAAGGCAAGTTATTGTGACCTTTTTTGTGTCTCTAATAACCGCAGGGACCAGTTCGATTTTGTGGCTACTTCAGAAGTATGTGAAGTTGGACCTTTGCCACTGGAGGCGTACTTTTAGTATGGCCATTTGCGTCGATCTCTGGGTTGTAGCATCTGCACAACCTCCCTTTTGAAAACAGAACATTTGTTCTTAAGTAAACTTTACATTTTGGGTTTTTACACAAGTCTTCGTATTTGAATCATCTGCTTCTCTTTTGTACATTAAACTTCATTATGGAATTTTCCTCCCCCTCAAAGAGGATGCTTTTGTGGTTAAAAGACGGTACTGGATTTCAGGAAATCAAGAGTTCAGTTTCTGGTTCAACCACAAATTTCCTGTGTGATTGCTTACTATCTCTACCTTGGTTCCCCACAGATGTAGAGATGCTGTCTTATAAATTTACAAGTTACCAGGGCCCATCGTGGTCATGTAATCTGATACTCTGCAAACAGAAATTAAAACAATTACTTGCTTTCAGAAAGTACAGGGTTTGTTTGTGCTCTAACATCCTGGAAGGTTAGCCAGCCTTGATTTTGTTCAGGAATCCATTTCCCCTAGCAAAACACTCTCACCATTAGGAGTCTTCAGTGTAAATAGGTGGGTGAAGAGGTTTTGTTTGCTTTTTTTTCTTATTTTCAGTTTTACCGAAAAGTTTGCCGTTTTTCCCAAAGTAAATAAATATGATTAAGTAACATTCTTAGACTAGCCAAAGCATTTCTTAATAGTTTTTCTTGGCTAAACTAAAGAGGTCTCTTAGCCAGTCACCTTGAATATTCAACATAGCTCATTCTTTGTGTTAAGGAGCTGCTAAATGGTTGGATTCACTGTGCCTGCATGTATCAACTGTGCTGTGCATACAAAATAGGACCACATTTTCAAAACACCTTTAGGTATTTATTGAACTTTAGGGTTTATTCCTATTTGCTTCCAGAGGTAGGTACCAGGACTAGGTGTTTACTGCAGTTTCATGCAGTAGCATTTTCTTTTCTAGAAATAGTTTGGAAAACACTGCTTTCAACTGGGCTGGAGGTGGCCACTTGTCGCCCTAAGGTTTTACTTACTGCATGCATGCATGTGTAGCACAGCATGTGCATCTTGAGCCAAAACCAGTTAACATGGTACAAACTTTTGCAAAAGGGTTTTCAGGGAAGCTGGCCAGTAGAATGAGACTGCTAACTACAATCTGAATACCTTGTTTGTGGTAAGTTCTTCAGGCCTCTTATATTCATTCTGGGTTTTTTTTCTGAACCCTTTTCACTGTTTGGTTCTAGCAGTCATCACTATATGTAAACAGTTTTGACGGTACAAAAGCACAAACACTGCTACCCCTTATTTTTACTTTATATTCTGCTTCAGCGTATATATCCAAATATTAAACTTCGTTTTCAACAGGAATGTTTCGCTGAGAGCTTGTGTTCAATTGGAGTCAACACTTTCCCGTATCTGCTAACAAGAGGCTTAATCTGAGCACTATCTAGTCCTCCTGAGTCATACATTAGTTTAAAATGCAAAAGAAACTGCCTGTGTGTTAATCTAACTCATTTTGCTTTAAGCAGGTTAAGGACTACTCTGCAGCTTTGCTGACAAGAGGAATCATATGGGCAGTATGTTGTGAAAAGACATAGTGGCAAGCATCGAGGCACTGGCTCTAGGCTCTGCAGGAGGTTTTTTTTTGTTTTGTTTTTAATTAGTGCAAGTCATTTTTACGAGTTTTTATTTGAATGCAGTTAATAGCCTGCAATTTACTAAAGCTTCATTTGAATGTGCTAAAATGAAAGTTACTCAACTGTGCATACTTCTAGGCAATTCACGTGGTTTTTCATGATTGATCTCTCACTGTTACTGTTTCATTATGGTTTTTGTCATCACAAAAATTGACTGAAATTGTATTTTCTTTCAACTCATTTAACTACTTCGGAAACTATACAACAAAACAAAGTTGCAAACAGAGTGATCCCTTTTGATATTCAACTAAAAATACCTGTTGGATTTAACAGTTTCCCATGTGTGGGCTCTTCTGATTTTTCTCATCTCCCTTTTGAAATTCTCATTTATCAGAATTGTATGGGGTTTTTTTTTTGTTTTTTTTTTTTTTAATCAGCATTTATTCTCAGACTAAAGTAGCACTGTACCAGCTACTAGGAGAAAAACTCTATCCCAGCAAAACCAGGGCAAGAATGATAAGGAAGATAAAACCAGGCATCTTACAGAAGTCCTCTGTGTCACCACAAGTATTTTGTCAGCCCAAATAATGACCCCATTTAAAGAATGTGTAGAGGATGGGAAGAGCCTGTTTTCTTCAGAAGTGACTAAAGTGATGCTAGTTATATACCTGTCTGTTTTTATATGTTAATGACCACAAAGGCCTCCTGGGCCAATTATTTCTCAGTATTCCTGGATAGCTAGTTATAACTTTCATTCTCTCACTTGGCTTCATTTTCTTAAATAGCACTTCTTTTCCAAATGTCATATTATTTTATTTTTGGAGTGCAGTCAGTACTGGGCTGGTAATGTCCTGATGTCTAGTGATGGCATGTCTCCAGGGCATGTCTACTTAGTTCTAATAATTGCTCATTCTGTTCCAAAAAACCCCTTACCTAAGTTAATTTTAAATTTCCTTCACAGTGCAGCCCCATTTACACCTTAAATTAGCCTTGAAAATAGGTACAGAAGCAGTATGGTAGCCTGCACTGATTTCTGCATCATTTCTCACAGTATGTATGAGCCTTCTAGGGGCATCTTAAGGTTAGGATATTTTTTTCCTCCACATTTAGGCAAGAAATCACTTGGCTGTGCAGGATATTGGCCAGTTGCTAGAAACGGCAAAGTAAGGAAAAGAGTAGTTTGTATCACAGTGAAAGATGATAAAGCTTATAATAACTCCCAATTTCTCATAGTCTTAAGGAATGGAAAGGCTATGAAATTTGTTGGCCTGTTGTTGTTCCGTCTTCCCAACAGAGCCAGCTTGATCTGAACTACCCTGATGGGTGTTGCCATCAGCATTCATTACACAGCATTCAGACTGACCTGTAAAATTCTCTCTTGCAAAGATAAAGTTTACTTACATGGTGCAAAACATCTTGATTCCAGTGGGGATTCATTTTAGCCCGAATTGTGATGCTTTAGATCCTTTTTCGTCTGAAACCATTGAAACTTTTTTAAAAAAGGGGTAAAACTTTCATTTTCTGTGAGAAGACAATGCAAAAAGCATATGAGCGTGTTTAGGATCTTTAGGTAGCCTTGCTGCTGCAGTCATTTTCTGTGAGAAGACAATGCAAAAAGCATATGAGCGTGTTTAGGATCTTTAGGTAGCCTTGCTGCTGCAGTCATTTTCTGTGAGAAGACAATGCAAAAAGCATATGAGCGTGTTTAGGATCTTTAGGTAGCCTTGCTGCTGCAGAAATGAAAAGCATTCCTAATGCAGAGGTTTAAGATGAATGGACCAGGAATATACTAAAAAGATGAGCTTAAGTCACACTTAGGATTCACCTGAAAAATTAAAGCATGCATGTTTAAAGGTTGTTTGGATTCTGTTTTTTAGTTTGGCGTTTTTTTATTCTCTAAATGTTGTTTTCCTTCAATACCCCTCTGCCCCTCTTCTGATTTCCCTCTCTCCTATTCTTTCCCATCCTCTAGTTTTCACCCCTTTGAGCCGCCTTCCCCAAGTTTCCTCTCCCCACTTCTCTGTGTCCCCGTCTGCATTAATCTAGGTCCTCAAATTCTGTAGAGAAACTATATATATAAGTTTAATAAAAAACATCCCTTTTCAAGTTAACACAAACTGAGCTGCAGAATGTGCAACTTTACACAGCTGAGAGACCAGTAATTTGTTACTCATAGCTGCGAATATTCTTCACTGTGTGCTTAGGAAACTGCAAGTATTTTAGTTTGAACAGGTTGTCCCTCTGTAGGCATATAGGCACTTTAGATATGAATATATATTAAAATATGTATGATATAAACTGTACATCTATATAACTACACACACAGGCACGCACGTCAGATGTGTATGTCTTAAGTACACTGGACGATATGCTGCCAGGAAACTTTACATTGCTTCTGCACTTCTAGATATCACCAGTGGTACTAGCTGTGCCTAAATTTAAAGATAATGGGAAATGGTAGTATCAAGCTGCCACATAAATAGTTGAAAGTGAAAGGAGGAAGGTAGCTTGAACAAGCAACTCATGAGAAAATACTCGCTTCCAAAATGCAGCACAGAAAGAAGAGAACTAAATGGAGACTGAATCTTAGATGTTCACTCTGTACATTAAGTTTAATCATTGTATCAACGGCTTCATATGACAGGAAATGATCTGGGCGTTTTGTTCACTTATTCAGGATGCCCTTAGTTTCAAAGAGCAACTGGTAACATGGAATGCACCTCCGAAGGGGACAGCTGAACTCTCCCTCTGGCTTTAGTGAGGAAAGAGCAGCGATGAAATCCGTGGACTGTATACATGTCACCCAACAGAAGGATACCGCCTCCTCTGCCCTCGCTGGCACTGCTTCAGGCACTACAGTACTTTTTTCTGTCACATTCCTGTGGTTTGCAATGCTCCTGTCCTCTTGCCTTGCAGCAGTGTCTCTTTACCATGTTGTCACCCTGAAAACAGAACTAGAAGCTCTGCGCAGTGAGCTCATCTACAGGGTCGAGGCAAGGTCTCCACTAGACTTGCCACCCATGTCCCCTGATGAGAATAAAGCAAGTACCCCTGTTCCTTCCTTCCTGCAAGTGTCTGCAGCTGGCACCAGGCAGGTAAGCTGGGGGGGTGGTATTCAGCTTGCAGGGGGTGGGCAAATGTGAGGCTGCTTTCACTGCCTGTCTCTTCTCCCTGTTAGGAGACAAGGCTTCCTGGTCCTGGACCAGCTGAAAGCTTCCAAAAGGAAATCTGGACTGGGAGCAGAAACAGGTGGAGAAGGTCTGTTGTCCATACAGAAGAAACAGGTAAATAGCATCCAGTGGAGTTGGATAGGACGACACAGTTTGATTCTGTCTTGAGAAAAGCAGCAGTGCTTGACTCGTGTCTTCTCCTGTCAGCCCATCTGTGCTCCCAGAACCCATTATAGTTTCCACAGTTACTGCTGAATGAATGGTGTTAACTGTAGGCATATTCTCTTAATGGTCACCATACAGAATCACAGAATGGTTTGGGTTAGAAGGGACTTTTGAAAGCCATTTAGTCCAAGCTCCCTGCAATGAGCAGGGACATAACTATTTAAGGTACCAGATATTCATACTATCTGCAGGTTGAACTTTGAATATTAAATCCTAAATCTGCTTTTTTTAATGGAGGTATTTCTTGATGATGTGGTCAAGTTGAGTAAAGCAACTTCAAATCATTCAGATTGTAAATTGCTCAATTCTAAATCCATCAGTCTCAGGGTAATGCCTAACTTGTTTCTCTCTGATCAATAATAGGGAGGGAAGGCTATTATTAAAAATGCCAAGTCATTTTTCTGGGAAAACACATTCAGCTTGAAAGAGAGAAGTTAACAAGAAATATTCTTAATTTAGGGAAGTAGGAGCTTTCAAAGAGAAAGGCTGACTTGTACCTGTCAAAAAAGGCAGACTACAAGAAATTCAGAAGTTTAACATCATTTCTGCATTAAATCTATCTGTTAATGTAATTAGCAAAGTTAATAAAGGCATGCCTATCCAGTAAGATTTTTTCTGTCATGGCCTTTCTAAAAGGTGCTGCAGAGAACATTGAAGACTGTGCTTCATAGAAGACCTCTGATGTGTACTATATTGGAATATTAATGAAATATATTTTTCTTTGGGGATAAAATGCCTATGTTTTTTTTTCCTTTCCCAACACAATGATGCCTGATAGGATGAAATACAGAACTTCATTAAAACAGTTTGCATACATATTCTAATTGCACTGAGTAATCAAAAATGTTCTTGAATTGCTAAATCAGTTCAGTCCTTTTACGGATACTTTCAGATTGTTTTAACGGATAAAAGCTGTTATCTTAAATTATTAATAGATGAAGTTGAAATGGACTAATTTATAGGTAAAGACTAAACCAAACTTTGTTTAAAATATATTTTTGAGGGACTAATCAATGTGAAATGTGTTTTGCTTAGTCTTCAGCAAGCTAAATGGAATTTAAGTTCTAGTGTATAATCACTCTACTTACCTCCAATATTCTCAAAAAAGAATATTCATTTAGGACATTACCCAAAATCCATAGGTTTAAATGGGTTTTATTCTATTCTATTAGTAGTCTTTGGCTCAGGGTCTTGCTAAGAGTGATTTCACAAACAGGACTGAGGACAAGATGCTTAAATTGTATTTCTTGCTTTTTATCATGGGAAGGTTCCCTGCTCTCCCCACTCTAGCAACTCCCAAATAAAAAATAGTGATCTAAAGCACAAGCATCATCAAAAATAAGGAGGCATGTCTTTTAAAAAATTAATGTTATAGTATCAGTACTCTGCAAGTTATCCAGTTTCTTTCACAGCAGCTTTCACCTTTATTCTTATTCCTGTTTGAGGGTGTATGGGGAGGGTTATGGGCTCCTCAGCTGTGCTTCTGGCAGGCTTAAAATTCTTCTCATGAAGTAGCCACCGTTAATTATTCCTGTTTACCTTTATTTACATAAAATTCTATATAAGCTACTTATTTCTGTAAGGTTTTTGTGTGGGGGTTGTTTTTTTTTTCTAAAAAAACCCCAAACAAACCCAAACAAACAAAAAAAACACCAAAGCCCAAAAACAAACAAACAACACAGCTGGCTTTAAAATTGTTCAGAATGGGTAACGAAGCACGGAATGTGGAAGTTTATTTAAAAGAGGAAAAGCTACATACTACTACAGAACTGTTTTCTAACATGACAATCATATTTTTGTATATAAAAAAGAAAAAAGTAAGTTAAAAATCTTGTATTGATATGAAAGGTCATGTGTTAGGGTTAACTTTCTGCCTGCTCTAATTACAGCAGATTAAGTTTGTCAGAGTTCAGCAAGATGTTACCTTTTCTCAGATCAGATTTCACTGATGCCCATGAGCCTACTAGTCAATGTTAAATTTTGCTTCAGCAGCGTGAGTGAAATAGGAGAGCACTGTGGTGTTCATGGTGCTGAATCCTGCCTGTTACTCGGTCATGTATGCAGAATTACTGGCCCTGCATTTTGATCTTGCATCTGTTTCTCAGTACCAGAATCCTGGCAGCCTCCACATCATCCTGCAGATGTGCTGCACTCATTCTGGTACAATGGCAGATAAGTTAGAATATTGAGTGAGGTGCTTTGTTCTTGTCCTGTTTGCTTCAACAAGCTCTCAAAGTAGAGTTTGGTCTGATAATTAATCGTTGACCCATAATTACAATTTAACACAGATGATTCCTTAGAAAGTGAATACTTAAAAGTGTCATTGATACACAATTGCTTCCCTTGTGCTTCAACAGAGAGCAGAAGTAAAATACAGAACCATTATTTTATTTATAAGTAAAGTTGTGGTTTGATTCTGTTAGGGTCTTTTAAATTTTAATTATTAAATTCCAGAAATAGATGCCTCATGATTCTTTTTAAGTCCAGCAGAGCGCTTCTTGAACATACGGAGTTCCCATATATTTTTTTTTATTTGTTTGATGCTGTGCACATCAAAGAGGCCACAAATTATAATTTAAATTAAAATGTGAAGTGAATGAATGTTGTTCTTTCATATATTCATGGGGTATATATTTGACTGTGTTCATGCGCACAATTATTAGTCATCAGTTGCTGCACATTTTGTGTCTTGAGAAAATTTCCAGCTCAAGTAAGTTGAAGAGATGGGTTTCAAACATCCATTCCAAATAAAGCTGTCAGAACCATAGTTCTTGACGCAATTAGTAGGAGTCTATGAGTGATTTTGAAAGGTACACATTATTGATATGCAGGCAGATAGATCATCTAACCACTTCTGGCAAATGTCGTATCAGGACACATAAGAATAGATGTAATCAGCCTTGTCTTTTTTTTTTTTAATAAATTTTGCCTGTAGAGCAAAATTGCTGCACAACAAAATCCTCTCCTGAATTTTATACCCTGTTCACAATTACTGATTTCCTTGTCTGCATGTTTGTCTCTAAGTTGTATGTGCAGTTTAGTCCAGAAACAAGATATAGGTTCAATTACCTAAGCCAGTTCAGTGTATGAATATCAAGTTACATTTACATGCTCTCTTTGTGCCTTGTTCTGATAATTGTGGGATTCTGATCCCCGTGGCCAACTAGTGAGGTGAGCATCAAGACTTCTCTAAACTCTAATCAGGTTGCATTTGCTTTGGCAGATTGGTACATTCATTGGTTAGAACTGTTTTGACTCTGTAGGTTATTGGTTTAGGTCAGTGTGACAGAGGGATAGCAAGACTTTTCACAAATAGAATTTGATTTTTGTGATCATAAAATCAAGAAACCTAACTTTTTGTTGCTAGTCTAAACAACACATAAAATTCCCCTCACCAAATATTCAAAATACCTCTTATTTTATTGTTTGAAGATGGGAAATATGAGTTCTCTTACTTTAAAAAAGGCCTACTTCTTGAAAAGATATGTTATTATTTTTTGTTTCTGCTGACAACAGTCTTACTCAAAAGGAATGAGGCGCTTCTATGTCAAAGGATAGAAAATTACTTGATAAAATGCGTGCAATTTTACATGGATAATTTTGTTTACAGAATGAATTAATTGGTGCTGTGTATTATGCAGAAAACTGCAATCAAAAATATACAAAATAGACTCTGATTTTTAAGAACAATATTCTGCTTTATACTGTATAACAGAAGCGTACAAAAATTATTCTTGTTATTAAAGTATTTTCTTACTCTGATTGTAACATGTTATTTGTAATTCTGTTAAGGTCAAAATAATGCTACTAGTATTTTGCAGGTATTTGTTAGATCTGAATCATACCTGTAGCTATGACCAAACCATTTCAGTGCAGAGATTGGCTTAATCCCTGATTAATGCCATATAAAGACTTTTTAATTAAAAAGCACCAAACTGAACAGTTTATAAAAATGCACAAGCAAAAAATAACAGATCTCTTGTGGTAAGAAATGAAGAAGTTAAGGGAAGAACAATTGCAAATTGTTCAAGAACATGCACATCATTTATACATACATAAAATATCTTTTCGGAAGTCTACAGAGAACAGTTATAGACCAAAGAAAGAATCTAAACGTGTAGGTCTGTCTTTTTTTTTTTTTTTTTTAAAGTTCAGAGGTTTTGCCGGTTTTAATTTCGGCAAAAATTGAGACAGGTAACTGGGGCCTCAGGTAGCAAAACTTTCAAATTTATGCATGAGTTCACAGATAATAAACTTGAAATTCTGTTTGTTTGAATTGTGAAGTTAGATTGCAAAGTACTGAAATGGTTATGCAAGTTAAGTAATACAAAAACTTGCATGGGAGGACAAATCTGATTTTACGGATACGATGCAGATGTGCTGAAGGCTGCATTCTTATCCTGCTGCAAAGGCTAACTTTTTTTTTTTTTTAACCTGGTGGTTTCATTGCTCAACACATAGAGAACACATCCCTTCATGTGCTGGCTGTGGTTTATAAAGGCATCTGGAGTCACTGGCTTATTCAGAATTGGCTGTTCTGTTCATGGAAGAAGACAGATTCTGAAATGTTCTTCCCACCCACAGCCTGCAGAGCAGTTAAAATCAAGCAAAAAAAAAAAGTACTCATCAGAGCAAAGCTGTAAAGTCAAAAGAGGATGGGGCACATTTTATCATTCTCGACACATTTTTGTACAGCTAGACCTTACGGTGACACTCAGTCTTGATATTTTTACACATTTTAAAAATATATTTTATGAACCTTGTCTTCTGCTTGCATTATTAATTATTAACAATTCTTTAGACTACAAAACTGATGCTCAGGTTTGATTTACACTGTGCTGAAGGTCATTCAGGTAGAACTTTTGATTTATTCTGCTCAGTACTGATAGTAACTATTCAACCTATACTTTGTAAAACATATATTCTTGATATTGTACTTCAGGTAAGATTTCGGTTCTTCTTGGAGTAGAATTGCTAACATTTCAATGTTAACTTTTTACTGGAAATCCATGTTAATTATCCAGAAAATATACTCTGTATATGTGTATTTTCTCCTTAATAGTAGTGCTGTTTACTTTGAAATTGTTTCAACTAATTACTTAATTTTAAGCATGTATGTAGTTTCACTGAGGTAAAGATGAAGTACTTGTATATACTGGAAATAGTTATGTGTCTGTCTTGGCTTCTGAATATATTTTTGAAGCATGTTGTACAATTTGTCATACGCTTCTTTAGATATTATTCGGCCCTTGTGGCTTTAGATAAAACGGACACTGTGCCGATTTCTGTTCTCTTTATTGTCATGAATGACACTGTTGTGTCCACATTTTTCCATGAAAAACTAGCTTACTATATTCCGTAGGACCTTATTTCTATCTGCATACACTAAAAAAAAAGATCTAGTGAGATTTTTTTTTTTTTTTTAGAGGATATGCGTAGATTTGCTATCTGTAGAATAAAGCAGAGTTGATACATGTTTTAAAAATACAGAAAATATCTTTGATGGTACTGAACTTGCTGATTTTAATTACTGTGTAGCTGTTTGCAGCATTGATGACTAGTATTTCAATGCTGCAGACAACTGAAACATGAATCCAGACTCACGGTCTGTGAATCAGGGTAGTTTCAATAATGTCAATTGAGTTTGCAGAGCAGGTTTAACAAGAGTTGCTAAAGTAGCCATAACTTTCACTGTCTGTAGACACTGCTCATTTGTGCCCTGATGGATAACAGCTGGTTAGTGTGAATCACAACCAATCCTCTCTTGTTCGGTTAGTGGAAAATCTAGTGGCCACATTAGTAAGTTCTTTTAAAAGCAGGAATGAAAATTTTCATTTAGCTTACTGATATACCCAGGAATCAGCAAATTCCAGTCACTAGGAAGACACTTCGCTCCAAGAAAGAATGCATGAGTACCTTGTGAAATAAATCACCTGATGAACTTTGTTGTGTGATTCCAGAAATCCACAGATTTATTTCCTTTGGAAGTTTCTTTTTCAGAAAATTCTGTTGCTCACAAGTGTGATAGAAAAATGTCTGAAGTGTAATACCTTTTTTGACTTCGTGTTGGCTTGGGGTTTTTTTATTCCTTATCAGAAGGCAGGGAATTCAGATGCCTTTAAATTCTTGGTTTGAAAATCTATAAATTTTGGCACATTTTTTATGAGAAGTGGTAGAACTCAAGGAAATGTTCTAGTGTAGGAGATGGAAGCATGCAGGATAGGGTTCCTCTTAACATAAGAATGCTCACAGGTTGTGTGATTATTGTGACATTGGAGCATTCCCAGATGACAGCTGGTACCACTGAGTGTTGCTGAGCATCCAGCCCCCTTCTGGTAATTTCAGGCAGGACCCTGTGAAAAGGAAACAGACTGCTCTCTAGTCAAATTCTCTCACCACCTGCTGTGCAGTGAGAGGCTTGTGCTGCTGAGCACTTGTTTCCACACGTGAATACTGCTGGTGCATGTAGAAACAACATCCCATGGAGTAGGGCACTGACCATTATAGTAACAGTGTCCAAATCTGACCCACAGCCTTCTTACCCAAAGGGAGGTAGACAAAAAGAGGGATTCAGCAGTCCATAGCTCTTGACTCTTGGTAAATGCATTTGATCTCTATCAAGTGCAGTAAGTGTTCCTACTCTGTTTTCCACCCTTCAAAGTAGCACTAGAACCAGATGTTTTTATGAAAATCTGCTCTAAGCAAATGCAACTATCCTTTTATTATTTTTATCCTTTTAGCAGATTTTTTTTTTTCCACAAGGTCTTTGTTTCGCTTGGATCCTATGTTTTAACATACTGCCACATTTTTCTTTGATAAAACTCCTAGTTTCTCATTAGTGTCGCTGGTCTCTATAGTTTTGAGCAACACATTAGTTTTGACTGTTTGACTATTTGTTATGCGTGCGTTAATTAGCTAACAGTCATCTCAGTATCTTCCCTCTTAGCCTCAGTACAAATTGACTGAGTGTTGGTATATGAAAACATACTGAAAGTACATAGACGTGAGAATTTATTTTGCAAGTATCATGTAACCAGTATATATGACTAATATTTTACACCAACTATGACTGGAAACTAATTTCTCTAAAGCATATACTAAACATCATTTATAAATCTGATACGTGTCATACTTGTCAGGGTTGGGTTGTGGGGGTTTTTTTGGGTTTTTTTTTTCAGCTTTTGCTTAGAAAATGCACAAGACTAATTGATCTGATCCTAGCTCATTTGACTTACTGCTTCATATTTCAATTATAGTAGGACCAGAGATTAAAACAAGCAAGTATTACTTGTGCTATTACCTGAAGCCTCCTGCTTAGCTGCATGGTCTCTGAAGGTTACCTAATGCATGTTGTGGTACGAATTTTGTTTTTGTACATTTGAGTAAGATCTGCATTAAAATCAACAGGTTATGTTTTCAAATCAGTGGTGAAACCAAGAAAAATATTTTTAATGCTCTTATTTTTTAAAAAAAAGTTGTCTTAAAAGCTCATTCTATTCTGCTACTGGTTTCTATTTCTTTGATTTCAAAATACTTTCACTTCACAGTGCTGCAGGCCTGCTTGCAACTGATTGCTGACAGCAAAAGTGATATTCAACAGAAAGGTAAGAATATGTTCCATGATTCATAGCTAACTATTCCATGTATTAACTCTTCCATCTGATCTTGTCTAACTTCAAAGCAGTGACTGAGTTATGTCACCTAATTAAAAATAATTAAAACGTCCCTGCATCTGGATAGCTCTTGCAAATACCCTCTTTTCAGTGGGGAAATCCAGTTAGTGGGACTGGAAGTCTTGACTGGAAGTCAGCTTTGTTAATTTTTGGCAGATGAAAATGAAGAAAGTGACTTTTCTTTCTGATTACCCCAAAATTACTGTTTCTTTTAGATGATTCAAGCATTGTCCCTTGGCTTCTGAGCTTTAAACGTGGAACAGCTCTGGAAGAACAAGGAAATAAAATAGTGATCAAAGAAACAGGATATTTTTTCATTTATGGCCAGGTGAGAAAGTTCAATTCCCCTCAGCATCTGACTTTTTAAAAGATTTTTTTTTATGTCTCCATACAGTATGTTTGAAGTCTGCATCTTTTCATTTTGTAGGTTTTATATACGGATACAACATTTGCTATGGGACACCTAATACAGAGGAAGAAGGCCCACGTGTTCGGTGATGATCTCAGCTTGGTGACATTGTTTCGTTGCATCCAAAATATGCCACAGTCTTATCCAAATAATTCTTGCTATACTGCTGGTAAACATCTAAGTTTTCCTTTTCTATGTTTGCAAATAAAACTGTATCAGATAGAATCTGCAGTGTTGGGTGATTAACTGTTGTGGTAGTTGTAAAGAAAATGGACGGCATTTGTGGATCTGGTTAATTGTAAAATTACAGAATACTTTCAAAAATACTTTTTATATAAAGTATTGGCAGTTGGAGGGTATGCAACTAACTTAAGTGATCTGAACAATTCCCCTCTCTCCATTAACTATATAATGTAGTTAGATACTTTAGTGTTGTCTACTTCAGGCATCTAACTAAAGTATCTAAAAGTACATACTATCCTTAATGAAGAAAACAGTTTAACTTAGGTGTTGAGTCCCACATTTAATTATATCAATAAAATATTTAGGAGTGATGTTCTACCTTAAAACATCATATATTACTTTTAGCTACCCAATTTTTGTCTACCTCACTCCAGGATTTCAAAAGATATTTCTAATCAGCCTAGTTCTCCTTACAATGGCTGCTGCTGTTTTACTCTTTGGTTAGATGAAAAATACTTAATTCCCATAAGGAGCTCTTTCTGACTGCACAAATTAGAAACACCACAAGAATCACCAATTAAAATGCTTAATGCAAGTCCAGCAAGCTCAGTGCTCACTATATACATATATTCCTGCAGTAACATTTAGGAATTATTGGCAAAGCCTATTAAACCTTGTTTGGTTGCTACTATTCATCTTTCTCCCTTAATGGTGAATTTGAGGGTTTTCTCTTTTAATTTGCACAGATCTTGCTGGAAAATAAAAATCTTTTATTTCAATGCTTTATTAAAAAATGGGTGACATTGAATGATGGAGTTGACTGTTGGCAAGTAGTGGCATTAAACAAATGGGATGGGGAAGGAAGCTAATGTTTTTTGCAAGTAAACATAAATTAGCTACTTCCTCCTGGCAGCTGAGGCTGTCCAATCATTTTCTATAATTTGCTGTCCCTCTACCCACACATTCCGGAACCATGACCATCTTCAGTTGCATCTGTCATCTTACCCCTGTATTACTTCTCACCTTAACTATGATATCTACTCCATCCTGCCACTTCATGCTTCCCAAATTCCCACCCTTCTGCTTTCAGCTGGAAAACCAAATCCCACTGCAGTATCTCATGCTGCTGATCATGTGTTGCAGCAGGTATTAGATGTGCTCTCAGCTCAGTCACTGCAACTTGAAGGTGAGGTGCTTTCAGTTATCACATCAGCTGATGTGCCGCTGGCTGGAAGTGAACTTTTGTGCTCTGCAGTTGCATCAATCAGCTGATGTCTGGTAACTTTATTTGGTTGGTAAAGCTCATAAGACCTCCTCCAGAAGTGTGGGAACAGAGTGGTCTAGAATCAGCAACACCCAGTGCTGACCTTGACTGTCACATAACCATAAAGTCAGGGATCTGGGAACACCACTGTTATGAATTTTTGCAGTGAATTTTGGTATGCTGAGTGCAGAGTGGACAGTAAGCCTAGATCTACAGAGGATGTTAAGTGTCAGCTTTGGGTAGCTGACAATTAGGCACAATTTCTAAGATTGTGCTAGAAGATGAAAAAGCACTTGGCACAAGTAAAATGTTTATATTTTTTAAATGATGTGCAATGACTTTTTGAATGCAGTTTATGAAAGCAATGTATTTGAAATATTAATTTAAAAATATTCCAAATCTTTTGCCAGGCATTGCAAAATTAGAAGAAGGGGATGAACTTCAACTTACAATACCACGGAGAAGGGCCAAAATATCCTTGGATGGAGATGGTACTTTTTTTGGTGCAGTTAGACTCCTCTGAAGCCCTTCATTTTTGTTATTATGCTTAATGCAGTTTTCCTCTTTTCCTATGCCTTTATCAGAGAAATATTGAATTGTAATAAAGCTGCCAGTTCAGACTCTTCCCATCCACCACCAGCTTCTGAGAACTTTTCTTCGGTTTTAATAAGAGAACCCAAAACAGGAAACACACCAGGCAGTTGTGAGATATAACCATAATGTGATTACCAGAAAAAAAAATTTTTTTTAGGCAATGGAAGACTCTAAAAAACAATTAAAACAATGGGGTTTGGGCTTTGAAACAATATCTTGTCCATAAGGCAAACCAAAGAAGGAGCTGAACAAAAAGTATAGCATAAGCAGGACCACTAACTATTAAATTATTATCTGTAACTGAAAAGGAAAACAAGTACATCATAGATTTGCTTTGTTTCATTAATAAAATATCTGAAGTATGAAGTATGTGGAAGAAATATTGAAGAGTTGATTCCTTATCAGAAAATGGAGGTGTCAAGTGGGTTCTGGGTTCTTCGTTTTTTCTTTGACACCGTGATTTGGGTAAGAAAAATCCTTATGTATGGGATAATGGAAGCAAACACTTCAGAAATATACGGAGTAGTAGCCACTGGATGGCTTGCTTCCCTGTGAACAAAAGGGGTGTAAATTACTAAAATCTGTTACCAGTTAGTAATCAGAATTAATTTTACTGGAAAAAGGACACGAGATGCTTCAACAGCTCACTTTTCAAAGCATTGCTACTCATCAAGGTGTATGTGTAAACTTACATACATAAGCAAGGCAAGGATAGAAACACAGTGAGATTAGACACAATACAGTAGGTGGAACTTGATTTTTGGCTTCGCAATTTCTGCAGTCATATATAGATGTGTATATATATATACAGTATGTATATGTATATATATGAAAGTATGTGCACACATACTTTTGAATAGCTTACCCTACATACATATTTTTGTATTTCTCTTGCTTTTTCATATGATCCATTCAATGCAATATAGTAAAAAGAAAAATCCAATAAACCTGGAACTAGTCTTATAACTAAGAAAGTACTGTTGTATGCAGAAGTCTGGGCTTAATCCTTAGGTTAACTATAGGTTTTTTTCTGCAGTTCTGAATAGATTAATTAACTCTGTTTTATAAAAAAAAACCAGACCTGTAGAAAGACTAAACAGATGGGTTTGTTTGTTTTTTTTCTCTGTATGCTTAGTTTAATAGGTAAGATTTATATCTATTTTTATCCCAATAGTCCATGTGTATTGCATGGTCAAGGTAATAACATGGTAATAGTGCTGTGGTCTATGAACTATTGCAAGACAAACATAGAATACTTATTTCACTGATCTTCAAAGAAGTATTGAAGTGCTATTGGAATAGATAAAATAATAAAACTCACGGTAATGAACTGTAATTAATTTGAAAATATTTTTTAGGGGTTGAGACTTACGTCATATAAGCTCATTTAGTAAAGAAATAAGCTTTCTGTATTGCAATCTCCTTGTCTGTTTTTATAACTCATGCTGATTTGATTGAGTTCTCATAGTGATAGACAACAAATAAGAGATTTGGAACTATGACTTACGGACCATGGTAAACTAATGAAACAATTCAGCTTCTCTGAGCTTCAAGAAGACATTTCAGCAATAAGCATACGTGCATTTGATTACCACACTGCAATTTTTATGTAGCTTAACTACAGTTTCAAAATCTGCAAATCTTCCTTATACAAATTCATTTATTTATGTGTTCTGGAGCTGAAGCTGCTGCTGCTAATAATGATAATTATTATTGTTATTATTATTCTTTAACTTTGATGTGCTAAGTTTGCAAAAAAAACCCCACATTTTAAATCCTCTACAGGAACCCTCAGTTTAGCCAAAGGTTGTGTGACACTACATGTACATAAAATAATTAGCATTTAGTGAGTTCTCTGTCATTACTGACATGCATTAAAGAGATGCCCAGAATCTCTAACCAGAAGCCTGTTGATTTTAGTGTTGTCTGATTAGAAAATAGAAATTTCCCAGAGACTTGATGGCTAAACTTAAAAATTTTACTTTTGCTATGTAACTTTCCCCAGAGGTTTCAGTGAAATTGTGTGTGCTTAAGGCAATTGTGGAGGTGCTTGTGTTCTTAGGTGTAGCTTTGACATAAACTGACACAGTGTAACAAACACATAGAACATAGCAAAAATGATGTGAAGCTAAATCAGTTGTCATCACTGCCCTCTTCTTCACCATGTTTCTTCCTTCTACTGCTGGTGAATGTGGACAGAGCAGAAGTTTGGAAAGTGTTTGGGGTATGGTATTGCTTGGAGGAAACATTTCTCATTGGAGCACAAAAGATTTCAATAAGCGTTCCTTTCCTTTAGTAGGGAAAATCTGAACCTCAAGTTTCTTCACAAAAAATGTGAACTGCGAGAACCTCCACCAGTGTGCAGAGAATGGAAGCTAACAGACTTCAGATATTTCTACTGACAAAGCTGGTAATTTTGTTGTTGCTGGATTAGTTTTCTGGTGGCTTTTGAGAAAACTTGTCTTCTCAAAATTAATCTGCTTCTGCACAAAGTTGAGTTTTAACAGATCAGCAGTTTCTAACCAAAGAAGGAAGAAAAGGAGAATACCTCATTCTTGATAATTCTGCAAACAAACTGGTGATGCATGAAATAGCAAAGTGCATCCAGACCACAATGATGTTTGTGCTTGAGGTAGGAGTTACTAAAACTTACTGCATTTAATAGATGTTATTTAAATAAGTGTGATAGCAAAAAAGTAGTATCAAGTTGGTTCATACCATATTTCACATTCTTACCAAGGATATAAAGCATTTAATATATGTTTTTGCAAATCCAGCAATCTGCCAATACTCTTGTTCTTTTTCATGTTGTGTTAAGCAGCATCTTAGCAAACAAAAGGGACTTGAGCGTTTTCTTTCCAGTACATTTTCACAGGAAGTGTGAGCCTGTATTGTTCTTTCCTTTTTAATAATGTGCAGTTGGCAGGTATATAGCTGCTTTGCAACATGAAATTTGTATCTTAAATATGAAAATGTTCATTATATAGTGTGCAGTTGCCCTGCCAACATACAGACTATACTCATTTACATGGCTCTCCCACCTCTGTGGTTTGAGTTGCTCAGCATTTGCCATTATAAGATGTTAATTTTAGTTGTCCCATACTTTTGCCAAGCTTACACTGCTGGAGTTGAGATTTTCTGTATCTCTGGTTTATCTCTTAGGTTGAACTGTCTTGAATAACTTCAACCCCCAAAAGTTCTACTCTTCCAAAGATGAGGGTCAGGAAAATGCGGTGTTTGGATATTTTTGTTAGTGATTTGGCTACTTCTTCTTTAGAAAGGTCTAGAGACTCTGCTTTGAAAGAAGAAATGTGTGTAATGTGGGTTTTGCTTTGTTTTAATTGGGGTTTTCTTTTTTTCCTTTCTTTTTTGTGCGCTCATATTTGGACAAGGTGTATGCTTTGGGAGAATATTTTATGCTTTCTCTAGTTACAAGCACATTCTATCTATATAGAAAAGGGAGAGGAAAATGTTCCCAGCAGTTTTGTCTCCTGGCTGAGTCCATGGATTACCATCAACAGTAAGATCTAAGTTGTTTTTCAGGGTCAGTCCAAGCAGCAGTGAGAAGTTAGTTGATGCAAACACAGGTAAGAGGAAAGCTAAGTATTTGCTCTAGAAAGGGTCTCATGGAGTTTGCAGGTTATGTAGAGCTTAGGGGTGATGCAGAAAACAAAATGGATTTGGAGCTGGACTGCAGAAATGGGAGAGACCATAATTGGGATTTGATTGCTTGTGAGGTGGGGAGAAAAACAAGGGCATGAAATGGACTTGGTGTGTAAAGCCTGGAACTAAGTGAGGTTAGGCAAAGATAGCAGCTTTGTGGAAAAGGGCCAAGGGTTCCCAGGGAAAAGCAAGCTAAACATAAGCCTGCAGTGAGCCTTGTCAGAGATGAAAGTTAACAACATCTTAAACAGGAGTGTCACCAGCAGATTAAGAGAAGGGGTACTGGTACCTTTCAGAGTGTATTTGGGATACTATATCCAGGTGGGACGCACTACACCCCAAATACAAGAAGGACAATGAGGAACTTGAGGGAGTCTATTTGTAGTACAAGGGAGTGGTCAGATTTGAGTACATGCCTGCCCTGCAGGTAAGGGCTGAGATAAATAGGTTTGTATAATCAGAAGAGGCTTGGGGGTCCTAATAGCAGCTTTCCAATACCAATTAGAAGGTTGTTAAGCAAACAGCATCACACCCTTTGAAGGGTCCATGGTAGTGTGAGAAGAGGCAAAACACACAAATCAAACTAGGAAGTCTGAACTTGACGTAAGGAAAACAATTACCTGATGTCATGGTCCATTTGGATCTCTTAGATTCACAGGTCATTATACTCTGTAAATTAAACTTAATTTTATGAGCTTATTGGGAAGGAAAGATGACAAGCAAGGGTTCGGTCCCTTTTGTAAAGACTAGTCTAATGTGAATTCACTGATTAATTACTTAAGTCATACGGTTTCTAACCCCCAACCTCTCTTATTCATAACTCATAGCTTGAAACTTGCGCACCTATGAGCAAAACAGTTACCTAGCTGCTGGTGAGAGCAGCTTCATCCTTTCTCCACATGGTGCAGGTGTCCCCTGCATCACACTGAGAAGCATGAAAGCTTCAGGAGTCCAGCTGCTGCTGGATCTACTTCAAAACCTTTTGGGGAAGCTGACATATCCCCCAGCTTGGAAGTTTGGTCTATGCTATTTCTGTGAGTTAGCAATTTATGAAAAAACAGCCAGACAAGAAATGCACGATGTCTGCAAGAATCAGCAAGCTGCAGGTGATAAGGGCTGTATAATGACCTTCAGCCCTTTCTGGCCACTGTGTCCTGCCTGTATCTTGTCTTTGCTTTGACTTAATGGTGCTAACCCTAGCATACATCAGACCTTAGCATGAGCTATGTGTTAGCCAAAATCTGAGCAGGCAATGAGTGAAAGGACACCATGGGGACAGTCAGCCACTGAAGCAGGTTACCCAGAGGGGCTGTGAAGAATCTGTTCCTGTGGATTTCCAACACCTTAATAAATAAAGCCCTGAGCAATGTGG